CCCAAAACCCCAAAACCCCAAAACCCCAAAACCCCGCAGAATCCTGTCAGGATTGAAAAAGTTTCGACCATAATCTACCGAAAATTGCCTATTTAAAGAATTCTAAAAGTTAATTATTAAAATCAGATATGGAACAGTGTGAAGAAGTTATTTCAAAAGAAAACCTCGAATTCATGGGAGTGGCAACCGCTAGGTTTATCAACGTGCTCCCAATCGATGAGAAACATACTCTTATTCCTTGAAATAGTGAATTAAAGATCTTTAGCATCGATACTAGGCCACCTCTTCCTAATGCAGAACCAAAAGAGGGTGAAGAAGATAAAAAGGAAGTCTTTGATGCCAGAGTAGAATTCAAGCAATCTGTCTCTACTGCATCTATAATGACACTAAGAAATGCGGAACATTACTGGGTAGCCATTACTCATGATGGAGAGATTATTTTGATTCAAAAACAAACTGTTGAAGAGATAAAAGCTGCCGATTCTTTCAATATTATTGCTAGCTTCCACACAGACAAGAAGTATGTCAGGTACGGAGATATCTCAACAGACGGCTCAACTATTGCCTTTATCTCTGAGCATAACGAGGATAACAGCCTCGTGATTTTTAAGTATAAAGATGGAGAATTTGAGTTCTTTGATGAAATTCTAGAAATCCCAAATACAGAGATTAAGCAATGTGAATTTGATGCTGAAAACAATATTGTACTTGCATGCTCAATTTATGAGCCTGAGGATAATAATGGCAAGATCAGAAAGAAAGTCATTGCCCATTCTATCCATAGATACACCCAATCTGGTGAAGGATATGCTATTGATGAGAAGATACATATTGAGGATGACTCCAACAGACTTAAGTTCATATCCTCTTTAGATAAGAAATATGGATGCATCATGTTCCATTCTAGGAGAGTTGCAATCATTGACTTCGAGTCCTTGCAAATCATTCATGAGCACTACATCGAAGGAGTTGGATTTGTAATATGCGATCTTTATGATAGGTTCACGAATTCTTTCCTTGTGGCAAAGGATAAAAATACATTCATCTCTTTCACAATCAATAGAGATAAAACTGTTGATGTGAGGAATATTATTATAGGGTTTACCCTTCCTTCTCCAGTCTATCATAGTTCTCTGATCAACCCAGGGACATTAGTCTTGTTCTGGGAGAGTGGCCTAGATGCTTACAAGCTCGATATCACTGCTGAGGAGAAAGGGGACACAGCTTGGTGGCAGACAGACAAGTTTAATATGAACCTCATTCATCTTTCTGGATGCTCTGTTGATATCAATCGAACTGGAAATATGGTTGTCTTCGGTGATCTTAGTGGAAGAGTTCATATTTACATTAAGAAAATGAATGAAGAGACTAAGAAAATGGAGTTCCATAGGGAATCTCCATTCAAATTTCAACATGCAGTCAGATCCATTGCATTCCATCCAGAAAATGACAATGTAGTCATGGTCGGACTTATGTCAGGCTGGATATTCTATGTTGACCCAATTGCTGATGTTGTCGCTGATATTGGAAATATAAAAAAAAGAGTAACAGTAATGAAATGGTTCGTCAACCAAAACGAAAGAGGTACCGAGAAAGAATACGTACTAATGGCAGCTTCTTCGAATGGAGATGTCAAAATGTTCCTTCAAGATCATGAGAATCCAACTATGTTTAGTGAGATCATGGATCTTCATGCTCATCCAAAAAGTAAAGCACCTCAAGATCTTAACTTTGGAACAATGACCAAGTACTCTGAGGTCTGGAGTTGTGTCTTACAAGATACAGATATGGGAAATATTTTGAAATACTTCGTCACTTGCTCAGAAGACCAGACATGTAAGATCTGGAGGCTACAAGAGAGAAGATCCTCAAGAGGAGAGTTCAAAGCCAAATGTATTGATACTCTAAAAGGACACCAGAGAGCTGTAACTGATATGGGATGGAAAAAGATGGACCCAAAGGTCTTTGGTGAGGATAGCCCTCACCTCCACCTATTCGCCTCTTGCTCTGACGACATGACTGTCAGACTTTATAAGGTGGATACATCAAATGAAGACCCAGAGTTTGAATATTTGAAAGAACTTGACACCAAATTCATCCAAGAATGGCATACTCTAACTTATATGGCATTAGAAGAGAATGGATCAAGACTTGCTGTTGTAACTCAGAATGGATACCTAGTCATATGGGATATCGAAGGAGTTATGGCAGAAGACTATGAACCGAAGGTATTATTTAGTAGAAGAATTCATACTGGCAGTATCGAAGGATTAAAATGGAAAGAGAAGAGACTTGTAACAGTTTCCTCAGACTGCACAGCTTGTGTAATAAGTTAATTTCAGTAATATAAAATTCAACAGTTAAGCCGAATCATGGGGTTTTGGGGTTTTGGGGTTTTGGGGTTTTGGGG